TCTCTCTCTCTCTCTCTCTCTCTCTCTCTCTCTCTCTCTCTCTCTCTCTCTTTCTCTTATATTTAAAATGTTTAACCGGAAAACTTTACCAAATAAATATATTATAATTATATACGTATATGTATATGTAAAGAATATGCTACTTACGCATTCTGTACTCATATCATTTAATCGGTTTGAATATAAGAGATCCACAAAAAAAACCGCGAAGAATGAAACCAAGGATCGATATTGGACTGTGTCCATTACCTAGTCGAAATCGGAATATTATTTATTTCTTTTCTTTTTCTTTCTTCGATACTGATATTTACTTTACATTGAGTTGAAATTCGAAATTAAATTTATATGTGATTTTTTTGTATCTTATGGAAAATAATATTATTCTTTTTCTTCAAAGTTATTTTAATTTTGTTTTTTTAATAAATTATTGAATAAACGAAAAAAAAAATTAACAAAAAAGATAAATCAATCAAAACAATTGTCATAAAATTATGTGACAATAAAATAAAAGATTAAGTTATTCTTAAAATATTTAAAAATATATATATATATATTATCTAAAGATAATCTTCGTAAATCTATCAAATTTTTAAAATAATATATAATGGAAAATAAAAAATCTTAAATTAAGAATTATTTCAAACGTTTTATTTTTTGTTTTTACATGTAAAATAGGATACAACACCATTTCCTATATGTAATTATACGCCAAGCTCACATTTTAAATAACACTGTTTTATTTCATCAAAATGGATAAAGCTTTTATATAAAATGATAATGAATACGTTTTTCGATAAATTTATAAAACTTGAATCATTCAAAAACACCATTTCTTCATTTTCTTGATTTTTTTCGAATTATTTTATATCTATTCAATATAGTAATTATGATATAATATATGCATTCTGCTTAAGTGAATAGATAAGATAATCCAGTGAATAACTAATAAAATATTATTCGTAATTGTGCATTCCTATCGAAAATATTCTCTAAAACATGCATTTTCGATGAGAAGAGCAATGAAAAATTAAAAAACAGGGTTGGATACAAATTTCAAATTACATCGCTACATGGTTTTAAATGCCAATTTATAATAAAAAAAAAAAAAATTATTTCCCAACCGATGTATCATGACACACTAATAAATCACGAAAATTTCATTAAAATTTTACTAAATAAAAATATATAAATAAGATTGAGAAATGCAATTCATGAGCAAGTTAATTAATATATCAATCAAAAATCGTTATTAATTATGAATCATTGTCTCTTATTAACTCGATCGAAATGCTCTGAACTTCAATTAATATTATAAATATATTGTTATATTATAATATTATAATATTATAAATATATAATGATAAAATATTTTAAAGATATTTTTTACTTTTTAAATAAATATAAATTCTAAATTAGTTTCAAAATGTACCACGAACACTAGTCTTAAAATGTGTTGCTAACAAAAAAAGTTGGGAAACACTGAATTAGAAAAATCAGTTAATATTTAGCATTAAGCTGCCTTTAACTTTGTTTATACATTCTCGCAATCTTTGATGCATCAATTGCGAATGTTTTATATCATTCGTCGACGCTGAAACAATGTGGAGGATTGTACCGTTGATCAATGTACATATATGTATAGAATAAATGAGCGGACGAGGAATGAAAGAGTCGATGTTTATACTATTTAACATATGATAAACAATAATGTAATATCTTAAGTATGTATTATATGAATATATTTAACGAATAACATCGATAAATTGATAAATGACTCCTGTTCCTTGCATGAAACTTCTGTTGTGAATTGTATACCATAATTAATGTTAAGCAAAATGATTATTTAAGTTGGAAGTATGGAAGATTATTTAAGTATGGAAAGCTATATCATACTCTTATAGATAGCAGGATTTAACGATTTGAATGCTAAAAAAAAAAAAAAAACATAGTCAGAGCTAGCTGCCAAAAATGATGTAAAATATCCTGCTTTTTATTTATGATATAAAACTGATGAAGTTGAAGATTTTGAACAATTACTTAATTTTTTTAATCTATTTTAAAATGTATTCTTTTGTATTATCATATATGAACTCCTTATATTTAACTTCCTGTTATATTTTATATAATTTTAATTCTCATTTAATACTCATTTCTTATGAATCTTATGAATAGATCCAATCAAAAATAAGAATCTTTTTCAAACAAAATGATTTAAATTTAAATTTAAAATAACATTTTTTTTACTATAAAAATGTTAACCATAATATTAGATAAATAAATTTGATGAAGATAATTAAGATTATTAAAAAATATTTATTAAAAAGAAATTAATTTTGTTTTAAATAAATTACATACATTTTGTAATGTTTACTACAACTTGTTCTTAAGATTCTTGTAAAATAATTTCACAAACAGAATTATGTATAAATTATTCAAAGCAACATGCAGGAGATATTTATTTCACAATTAATAAATCAAACATATATTACTCGCTACATGAAGAATATTAACTTACCATTTCATTATAATAGTCATAACATTTATAATGTAATGAAATTATATTGGTCCAGTCTTCGATAACAAAAAGTCAATATAACATCAACGCAATTCTCAATGAAGGACAGAAGTTGCAAGCATTTTGTCCTCTTATTATACTTTATGCATTTTAAGTAGATGATAAGTATTTATTATTATTATATAGTTACTTATAGTTATTTATAGATACGAAAACGCACGTTAACTCAACTATATGAAAGGAAATTAATGACAAAAAGTGTTTTACAGAGAATGAATTTTTGAGATGAGACGATTCAGAGATATAAAATAAATTTCTCGAATATTTGGTATTTTAAGAAGCAGATGCAATTTGGAAATGCGCTGTCATATTATTAACAATAAGTCTACGTATATGTACCTAATAATGTCCGTGCTATTGAAAAAAATTCACCAAATGAAATATCTTGTTTAGATATGACCTCCTACGACAATATCGAAGCAGGTCTAAATATTGATATTATATTAACGGTAATGTGTTAACATTTACTGTATTCTTTGTGACTAAATCGCAGAATTGTCTCCATACAGTTCACAAACTTCGAAATGTATTAAATAAATATCATTTAGAGAACTATGATAATGATACCTTTTTTATTCAGTAAATAATTTTATTTACTTGTATCATTCTTTTTTAAATCAAAGTTGAAATAAATATTTATATTTATATATAAATATTATATAAAATTTGATCATGATGTTGTTAAAAAGAAAAAAAAAACATTTGTTTGCGTATGAAAAATTTTTTATTGAAAAATGTTCTTTCACGCTACAACGTCAGTATACCTTCGTCTATTTAACGTTATAACAGTACAAAAATTGCATTTTTACAAGTTATCCAGCTTACGTGACTAAAATATCCCAGTTAGCAATCTGACAATTCAAAAGCTACGTCTCTTAATAATTAACAGAAGGCGCCGTATATAGCAAAGGTATTCTTTGGCCAAAACATAATATACCAGTCTCAAATAGAATCCTCCTTTAATAAATAGGTGGATTAAAAAATTCATCTTTGATGCATCTATCGTTAAACATTTACGAACTCTTATTTTCACTTTAATATCCCAATAATGTAGATATTTTATGATTTTATAATTCGCTAAACTCGTCTAAAATTTCGTTCCTATTTGACCGATCGATCTCATTCGACTTGTTATATACGCATAATTATTTCTATTTTTGCGACAGAGTTAAAAAAAAAAAAAAAAATTCAAAAGAAAAAAAGAGAACAAAATCAGAAAAATATTCCGCAATTCCAACTGTAATGCATAAATGACCGAATCGAATGTAATCGATAAGATATAGCTAAATACTAGATAAAGATAAACCCATTATGAGATGAAATATCGAAATATTCGAACCATGGATTTGTTAAATAACGATGTCAAAAATCACATTTGCCGGCCAAAGCACACCTAAAACAGAGCAAAAGCCCTCTGAGACGAGGAGGCGTTATATTCCATAATTACACACAGATCATTTTTCTATTTTTCTAACTACTTCTGTTCCTCACAAACACATTCTAAAACGCATTTTTTTTTTTTTTCTTCCATTTGTTTAGCTCTTCTCTCATCGATGCAAATCTCAGTCGATGGTCACTTTTTTGCTATCTGGGTTATCATCAACGATACTTATTTCGGCCGGAAA